AGGTTGGTTGGTTGGGGGAATTAACCAGTTTTCACATAAGAGAAATGTTGGGAAATGAGCCACCCTTGACTCAGGTCAAAAACCTAGACTAAGAGGGACAATCTCTATGTAGAAATGAGTCTCGCACCGGGTCTTTGGGAGTGCAGGGAGGAAACTCTGCAGCATGTGAATGTAGCTAAAAAAATGACTGCCACTTACCGGCAAATCGTTTCCAGAATTGGCCACTAAAAGATTGGATGTGTCAACACCTATGAGCTTCCCACGCTCATCCTTCAACTGTTAATAACCCAAACAACATGTTAATGCCAAACTAAAGCTGAGAGCCCCAAAAGTTTAAACGTAAAGCTTGCACTACCTTAGATATAATCTCTACTAACTCAGTGTAAGTAACATCATTGATAGAAGGTAAGTCATTAGCAGCCAAAACAACCTGGTCAAAGAAAGCAGTAGTAAAATGAGATATGGAAACAAGAAAAGCACACTGTTACTGGAAATGCTTTCATTTACTACCAATACGAGCTCAACATAGCTACTAAATCTATCAGCTGTTCAATTGGCGGCAACATTGATGCGCTTCATACTAACATCATGACTACATATACAAAGTGTGTAACTTATTCACTGGCGCTTCATGCTATTAAACTAGGTTTTCTAGTTTTCCTGAATTCATTCAAGAAATGTTCCGGTTCTAATCTTAGCTTCAGGGGATTGATGAAACAGAACAAGAATGATGATATTCACGAGGTGCCACAACTATGATATAGCCATAAAAGCAGCACAAAGCCCCAGCTCGTTTGTAATGTTTTACTGGAGATAAAACATCTTCATAAATGTAATAAATGCTGCAAAAAGAGAAATAAGAGAGAATTAAAGTTACACTTCCAGACGAGGAAGTAAAAGTCCTACCACAGTGATCTATGCTACACCACATTGAACTTGTGTGCACCCATAAAAACCCACATACCAAGCATATCAAATACACGTCAATTAACGGCATATGCAATGTAATCAAAGAACAGTCCAGCTACTGGTGGCCTACAACTTGAATCCAGTTTATTAAACGCAAGAAACTTCCAATCTTTACATACAACAAAGGACAAGGGACTGCAAAATAAACCTGTGCTCCATGACGAAGTAATTCTCTAGCAAATGGCAAAATACCCAAAATAATATCTGCACCAGAATTATCAACAAAGATTACAGCCTGTACAAGAGTAAGGATGTCAGTGAAGGAACAGACATCAAACATACCGGATCCTGGTCAAAATAAAGATCAGACTTGAAGCCCAGTGAAGATGATATATGAAAAGAAACTCACCTTTTTCCATGTTTTTTTACTCCATTTTGTAATAAAAGTGTCCATATCATCTATAACCCAGGGTCGAGGGACAAGGTTTTGGCAACTAGCGAGAAAAGACATACCATCCTCTGAAAACAGCTCTGCAAGCTTCAAGAGAGGTCAAGGAAAGTAGACATTAGTTACACACGATTTCGAAAACTTTGAATCATTTTAGAATTGCTAGTTGTGAAGGATGCTAGATTATATTATATCAAAATCAAATGTGAAAGGTTTCAGCTAGCTGGATTCTGTATAGGTTCCAACAAGATGCTCAGGATATCATATTCTTCTTGTTATCTGCTACAAGGACTCAGGTATGCAAGTCAGATAGGGGAATGTATTTAGGCACGTACAATTTCTAGCAGGTTTTATGTATTTGTAAGGATCTTTACTGGGAACCTATTTATGTAACACCCCTTTGACATGAGTAGGTTTAGGCAAATCAAGAGTTTAACACAGGTATTTTGCAACAAGTTCCTCAAATAAGAACACACCCTTCAAATGATGAAATCTAAAGCATCTCAAGATTCTCAACTGGCTGATGTACTGGTAATTTTGAGCCTCATTGTGTTAATGGCGATGGCTAAGCATTAAGATTTCTCTGCTAATTCTGGTTAGTTTTCACCTTTCATAAAGTTTCTAAGCTAGGAAATATTCCTGATACTCAAATAAGCCACTCCTTTCAGATGATGAATCTAAACCATCTGAATTGACTGATATACTGGTAATTTTAAGCCTCATTGTGTTACTGGTAATGGCTAAGCACTCTAAGATTACTATGATAATTCTAGTTGATTTGCATTTTTCATTTAGTTTCTAAGCTAGGAAATGCTTCTGATAATGATCCCAAGATTGTAGAGTCCTTACAAACTGGAGAGACAGTAAGCAATGTGATTCAGTAACTTTAGGCTTGAGTGCGAGAACCATGAGGCAGAAAATAATTTTCTGATCCTGGGAGTGACATAGGTCACCAAGGCTTTTTGTCTGAAATTTCAAACTCCAGCATAAATTCCAGAGAAGCGCACAAGAGTCTGTCACAGATGTCAATCTTCTGGTAATCCTAAGAATGTAAAAGGCTGCCGTCTAAGTATGATACAGTATTGAGTGCTGACTGTATGGGTTAAGATGTAAAAACCCCTTAAAGCATAAACATATATGCAAGGTTGCTCTTCAATATCATCCAATCGTTTTCTTCAAGCTTTTTACATTTTTTTTTGCATTCATTCTAGTAACCAGACATACTTTCCTGTATTCCTTAATATGTAATAATCTTACCGAAAGCCCATTTGTCCGAGCTGATATAATAACTGCATAAACAGCTTCTGATTTAACCACATTATAAATAAACAAATGAATGTGTCATTTCCAACTTCCCATAAGAAGGTTAAATATCATTGGTGACTTGGGATGGCCAAGGACTAATCTACGAATAAGGCAAAGAAGTCAGCCCAATTACCAATTCAAAGATTGAGAACTTTCCGAGTAAGATATAGAACTTCATCTGAGAATCAATTATCCACCTAATTAACTTCATCAACCAAACCATGACCAGCATAAACTGTAAGGCAGAAAGTCCCATAAGACATGATTATATGCTTTCTTGATATCTGATTTTCATAGTACTTTGATTCTAGATCATAAATACCTTCACACTCTGCACACCTACAAAAGAATTTTGAGTTTTCTCATAATCTGTGAACAAATACGCCAGACTAAACTGTCCAAAACAACAACATGAGATGCACCCACCTTTTTATTATTCACTTAATGTTAAAGTTCTTTCTCTTTGGTCTATGGTAAGAGTACGCCCGATGTGTGGGTTAGGTGCACGTCACGGCTTTGAATCCTGCCACAAACCAAAGCCTAGTGTTTAAGTGGAATAAAGTTGAGTGGCAGGCCCATTATCCACTGAATTTCGAACCATGAGCCATTGCCCTCGGGGATTTCTCTGTTATCAGAAAAAAGAATTTTTTTCTTGCCTTATCAATTGCACACACAGCTTTATATTCTGTCTGCAAAAAGATAGGTCGCTTAGCCAAGCCAAAATGTTGACTAGGATCAAACCATGATGCATGTCAACATTTTCCCTCTTTTTAGAAAGAAAAATTCTGTGGTTAGCTATGGGTTTCAAGCCTATAACTGAAGAGCTGTCAAGAGGTCTACTATGAGTTTGTCAATGCCAAAGCTATATAGATTTTCGAATCACTTATGGCAAGAGAATCTAACATATCCATAGTCCTCTGATAAGAAGAGTGAAAAGCTATCATCAAGCAATTTGGTAATTATCTCAATCATATTTTGGCATCATTTTTGACAATGAAGGTCAAGCAACTTACTATATATCTCAGTGCAGGTATTTTTGTCACCAATCTTTTTTTAATAAGGAGTTTGTCACCAATTATGACATTAAATGCGGCAAGCAACCAAAGAAAAACTACTAAAGGAACCATCTGAGGAAACATGAACTTGAGTTACTTAACTTTCCACTAGAATTTAGAGATAATTATAACATTGGATATTTACAATTCTATATTGTCAAAAGTGCTATAGATTAAATCAACGTGATTGATTGAAAGCGTTCTATAAGTAGTTGCCATAACTTGACTTATTGCCCAGGCATAAGATACGATTTAGATGGAGTAATGGTTCAGAAGATTAACTGACTTCATGCAGTGACTGTGAAGAAATCATGGATCAAAAATCATGACGTACCTTTGCAGAGCCAAGATCAAAAATATTTCCTGCAAAAATTCCTCTGACCAAATTCTCTACACGCTTGGCTTCATCCTCAATAGCATCATTAAGACGTACCACCTCCTCAAATAGGGATATAGCCTTTGCATTTTCTTCGTCCTAGCGCATTTTCATACACCAAAACCGTAGCAGTTAAAACCAGACACTAATTCCTAATGTTGCAGGATAAGGAGTACAAAACAATCTGATGACCTTTAAAGAACTGGATGGTTTATTTTGTAAGGCATGTCAACATCCACAAGCAGACACCCTAGTGCATGTTTGCACAGCAGATGCAAAGTTAGGGTCTCATATTTCACCTTTGGATGATCCACCATGTTTTAGAATGACAGTTTTCATCTATATAATAGAGATTTTCATAGCACTCTTCACATCCTTAGGGTTATTTCTTTAAACACTTGCTAACACGAGAGAGTCAACTTGAGGAATTTAATAATGGAGAAACCATACTAACCTTGACCTTTTTAAATATGTCTCTGAATCCCACTTCTCTAAGCACTTGCTCTCTAAGGCGACAAAGAAGCTAAAAGAATACACAGCAGGAGAAAGTTGTAGCTTCTTAGCAACAACAAAAAGTTATCAGCAACTTAAGGGTCAATAACTGCTTTGCTAATACGGTTGAACTTACAATGCAATCAGGAGGCCCTCCATGACTTTCAGGATCTTTCTTTAGATCCTCAAGTATTTCAGCATACCTATCCACCAAAAGAAAAAACAGGTAAAAATGGAAACTTTCATCAATTTTCATTTTGTAGCATATAAACCTCAAAACCTTCTGAAATATACTCACACTTGCTCAAGGTATGGTCTAAAGCGACTTTAATTTCCCATCACTTTGACGACAAGTCAAAACCACTTATAATTAGAATATGACTATATCGATACCAATTTCCCTCCAAAACTTACACCAAATTTACATGATACTAACCTACACAGAAATTTTTTCTTTTATAAAGCAAATATTTTCCTTGATAAGTATTGATAAAGAAAATATATTTTATTGATTGTAGAGAATATAAAATAAGAGAAGGTCGTCTGAAATGGTTTGGCCATATACTACGCAAACCTCAAAATCCATTAGGCGGGACATTGATGATTAAAGGTACTAAAAGTGGATGAAGTAAGCTTAAAATCATGTGGAGAGAAGATGTCTCAAAAGACCTACAACTCTTAGCACTGATGACTTAGTTCTTAACAGAATATTATGGAAACAAAATATCTATACAGGTTATATCATCTAGTTGGATTAGCTTTGTTGTGGTTACACTTACTTTAGGTTTAATTAGAAAAATGTGAGATTTAGAGAACTTCTAGTTTTATAGACCACTATTTTGTCTTCTACCTAGCCCTCCGGCTACTCCCCACACCTTTTCAGCAGATTGAAGCATGTACTTGAGCTAGCTTGTTGGATAAATAGAGAATCAAGGAATTGACCAAAAGCAACTTTCTTTCAGCATTGTGTACTTAAGCTTAACACTTGGAAACTAGTTCTTCTAATTTAGTTTCCCTTGGTACCCACCACAACCCTCGTCTAACAAAAGGAATTAAAAACAGAAGTATTTTCAATTCCATTGACCCACCTACTCTTGAAGCGAGGGGTAATAGTTAACCGTTTAAGTTTTATGCACCGATAATATAGAAGTATTGACACAATAAAGTCACTTAAAAGATAATAGCTGGTATCTCTATTTAATAAATAAGCATCGGTTGGTAACATAGAATAAATAGTAAGTAACCTGCTATAATAGATTAAATTATATTAATAGTGTAAATATTCATTACACAACCAGTGCTTATAACTCAAATCCAATACGAAATTACAAAAATATAGTATAGAAGGATACCTCTGAGCAAACTTTTCGGCTCGCAAAGGAGCATCTGGAACACTGTCATCGCTCTCGGCCCTCTTCCTGCATTTATTGAAAAAACAAATGAAAATTCTCAGATAAACGAATTATTACGGGCAAAATTTAGCTCGATCTACAACTGGAGGAGTTGAGTACCTAAAAGAAGGAATGGAATTCATGAAAAGGTCGATCCAGGAAATCTCAGTGGGAGTAGGTTTCTTGGGATTGTCGGAAGGGAACCTGTAAGGAATGCTACATGCTCGGTAATTTGACTCAATCGGCGTTGTCAGCAACGGGAACGGCACCAGTTCGCCTGAGCTCTCCATCTTTACTGGCGCGTTTCGACTCGCTCGATGTCCCTTCTTTTTATTTTCCTGGCAGTCTGCACTCTGCACCTAAATCAAGTAGTCTCTTGAAGGTCCAAATTTACCCTTTACTTTTTTGTATTCTCTACATTTAACCTTCTTATACTATTCGGTCATATTTACCTCTGCCATTATACTGTCCGACCAAGTTTATGCTTAGTATCATCAAACTTTTACAAATTACCCCAATCTGTTAGGTGACACAAAATCTCCCATATTATTTTAATTAAGTTACTTATTCTTCTTCTTAATTTACTATTTTTTAAATAGTTGACATTTACCTGCTTTCTTAAAATAAGACAATGATTAGTAAACAAAGTATAGTAAATTGAAGAATTTAAATTAGATAGCTTGTCTAAATTCCAAAGGTATTTACAATAATCCAACTTTAATGAATATTTTGCACCAAAGGTATAAAGACTTTGCAAGTATTAGTGATAGAAGTTGAAGTTCCTTGGAAATTTTACATTGTTAAATTCAACTTTGCTTTAATCAAATGTCTACGCATTGTGCACTCTTAAGTTAGCATATCGAACTCTATACTAACCAGACAATAACAAAATCTATTCAAATATATATGTACATACATGACGAGCAACTGCATATAATACATAATAAATAGATTCACTGAATTCTGCAATGTGTATATGGTTGGAAAAAAAAAATTTAAACCAATTTCAAACTCATTATCACGAGAAGGGAAGTGGGTGCAATGATAAATAAAAATATCCATAACTAATTTTTATAGTTTGGTACTTTTAGCATTCACATCAATTGTAATTTCTGAAAATAGTGGAGCAAGAAGAACAACAAGGGATTTAAATAAAAGAAAATTGGGAGATCTTGGATTACCTAATAGATCAAGGGGTAATTTTTAACAATTTTATGGCGGCATGGGGAAATTTGACCGGATAGTATAATGGAGATTACATGTAAGCAATATTCGAAAGTAGAGAGATATATTTGGGCATTTTTCCTTATTATTACTATTCTTTCCATCCTAGATCGGTTATCACATTTCTTTTCTTTTTTTCAGCGTCAAACTATGTGAATTTTTACTAATATTTTGAAATATATATTTATAACATAATGACATGAGAAAAATATGATTTTTAGTATTCTTGTATAGTTTTAAATATCTAAAATATAATTTGTAAATATTAAATTAATCTAATTTAATTTAGCTTCAAAAATTAATTAAATTACACTCGAGAAGCAAAACATAACAACTAATTCGGAATTAAGGAAATAGTATTTTTTTTTTTTTTTTGAAAACCTAGTACTATTGTTTTAGCAAAAGGAATAAAAACAACAACAATAACAAACCTACTCTATTTTCATGAGTGGGGCATAAGGAGAGCAGTGTGTATTCAGACCTTACCCCTACCTAGTAAAGATAGATAGTGTTTCCTATAGACCCTCGGCTCAAGGAACAATGAAAATAAAGCAGCAAACAATAACAACAACAATATAATAGGGTAACATAAACGAACGACACAACATGTAATAATAAAGAACCAGGAATAAGAAAATACAAGAATAGTACTAGTACTACTGGTAAGCCTAGGAGAAACTCACGGCTACCTGTCAACCTTCAACCCTAATCCTCGTCATTCACACCTTCCTATTGAGAGTCATATCTTCGGTAAACTAAAGCAATGACATGTCCTGTCTAATCACCTCTCCTCATTACTTATTTGGTCTACACCCTTCCCCAGACCCACCATAGTCAACCTCTCACACCTCCTAACCAGGACATCTATGTCTCTCCTCTTCACATGCCCGAACCATCTCAAGTTCAATTCCCGCAACTTGTCCTCCACGGAAGCCACTCCCACCTTATCCCTAATAACTTTGTTCCCAATCGTGTCTTTCCTAGTATGCCCATATATCCATCTCGACATCCTCAATTCAGCTATTTTTATTTTTTAGACATGGGAATTCTTGATGGGCCAACACTCTGTTGGAAAAATATTAGATGATTATGGAGAATAAAAGATTTAGCTTGAGGCGTGTCAAGGACACTGCCCTTTAGGATATTTCGCCCACGCCATGATAAATAAAATTAGGCGTAACCCCCAGGATTCAACAAGCTCTTATAGTATAACTAGGAATAAAAACAACAAAGATTAATCAAAATAAACTCACATAGAAGAAAATTAAAAGGAAAATTTTTATGTTTTTCTTCACACCTCAAAATAATCACACACACACACACACACACACACACACATATATATATATATATATGTATATATATTGACATCTTATGAAAGCTAAAGCCATTAAGGCTTAATGCCACTGTTAAAGTCGTTTAAATCTACATATGCCAAAACGTTAAAATCATTGAAAGCTATCAAATGCCAAAATGTTAAAATCATAGTTATAGGCGTCAATCATCAGTTTTAGTGTGTTCAAATTTGTAATTGAAAATTATTCCATCAGATACTAACAAAAACTAATTGATATAATAATGACCTATTAATATTATATTAAGAGAATGAACCTAGACATAATTTTAAATTTTTTTTTGAAATATTAAAATATTTTTTCTAACAATCCCTCACATAGCTCAAAAAGAATATTAAGAAATAGAACAAATAGAGTTTCGCTGGGTTTTTACAAATGAGCACAATGCGTCGAATCTGGTGTCTGTTGGACTATGAACCAGACCTAGATAAAATTATATTAAACTTACAAAACTATTGGTGAAGTTTATAACTTCTATGAACTAAAAATTCTTTTGTAAGTTTAGTGTCTTATCTATCACATTATACCCGCACACACTTTGTTGTTTGTCGCGATTTTGCGCTAATAGGCCATGCGCGCTTGGTTTTCATGAATCATGAGTGCTTTAGAAATTTTACCATAAATTTCATAGGAGTGGCCCCACTCCGTACTCATATAGGTCCATCCATCAAGTGTATTCTGCAACATAATACACCATCTACAATAGGCTATGGATTATTGGATTAAGAGTTTAATAACTCAATCTCACATTCCTTGCAGTCTTGCACTATATACACACACACCATGGAAGAGACATAATATAATAGTGCATGTTTGATCAACTAATGACTTGTTATTACCCATATGAACCTAGTTCATGGGACCTCTAATCACATAGGTTGGGTTACCATCATTCTTGATATATCTCAAATTGGCAAAAGTCTCAACCCCTCGATAATTCACTTATAAGTCAAAGGATCGGTCAAATCCTCTTTTGACTACACATAATATGTATAAAATATTCTCGTCTCTAAGCAATTGCTTATTCACATTATGGGGCGTTTGGTAGGGTGAATAAGAATAGTACGGAATAAGGTGTACTAGTAATGCATGTGTTAAGAATGCAAGCATTAGTTATGCAGGTATTATTTCTTATCTATTGTTTGGTGTGGTGTATTAAAAATTATAATGCATTGCATAATTTTTAAGAAAAATAGTTGTTTACAAAAATACCCTCCATATTCTCTAGCTTTAATGGACTTTAAGAATAATTTTATCTTTAACCATACTAATGCATGCATTAATAGCCTTTGTATTACTAATGTCATGGTTTTCTATGCATTGCTTATACATAGGATAATACCAAGTATGAAGTACAACTAATGCAAGTATTAGTTATACACATGTTGAAAAATGTACCAAACAAGGTATTAATAATGCACAAAGCTAATGCTTGCATTATTTTTTCTAATACCTCCTACCAAACGACCCCTATGTCTCAAGAGAATGTGTCTACTCTTCCCATTGAAATATTTATTTTCTTACAATAGCTAGCTCGCCTTAGCAATCACAATTCATCGATACAAATGCTGTCCGCTTAATTCCTAATGGAATATTCACCTAGAGGTTGCTAAATCAACCTCATTGCCAGATAATTCCAATATCATAACACCTCATCAAAAGATGATCACACAATCACTAGTGAGTTTTTCACATATGAATCAGAGAATCAATATCATAACTTTTCAAAGCCAGAAATATAACATATTTTTGATCTTCCAATACAAACTTTTTGCTACAAAAAATCTCAATTTTGTAAGGCTTTATTATAAAATTAATAAGCAATTGTTCTCATATTTTTCCTTCTTAGGATCAGGCTATATAACTGTGAGATAACCTTTTCACCATTCATAAAGAGTTCTACTTTATAAATAACAAACTAATAATATAACTTCACCCAATATGTCACAAGAACACGAAGATTTTATCTTATCTATTATTTCTATCAAACTAATACGGAGGAGACCTGCAATGATCTAGGAAGAGATATACTCAAGCTGACTTTCAAGAAATCACGGCTCACTAATTAAGATAATTCGGTAGATACAAATTATTTGTAAAGATAAATGCAGATTCATCAAAATTTAAGAGCTCAAAAAGCTGTTAAATATATTATGAAATGCTTTAGCAAATATATGTAAAACATTGAAATATAATGAGAGGAGATTTACAAAATCTAACACATTAATCATTATCTTCCCTTCCATAAAAAAGATGAGTCAAATTCTATTTGACATGAATGATTATCATGTATAGTAAATTATTCACTCTTTCATTCTCATAGAATTAGCAAAGAACTTATACGATTTGGGTATAGAAATCAATCGTGCTTTTATTCATAACACTCCAAATTCAAAACTCAAATTTGTTGAAATTAAAGAATCAATTTAAACCCACTATCTTAGAGCTATCAAGATTTTCAAAAATGGATAACAACAAAAGTCTACATTTATGTAGGCTTAGTCGCATTCAAATACTAGAAAAAATGTACCTTAATTTTGTGGTGAATTTTATTGTTAGAATGACACTGTTATACGTGTTTGGTCAGGTAACAATGGCTGACCGGTCAGGTAACAATGGCTGACCATACTTGAGCATACTTGTTTTATTGATTGTTTCCAACAAGATTTTTCTTACTATATTTCACTGGTTTCTACTGTTTATCTGATGTTGCTGCTTGAGATAGCATTATTTGTGCCCTTGTGGGATTTTATGTTCTCAGTCGTTATTTATTTTTATTACTCACTGGGTCGGAGTACTCACATTACTTCCTGCACCAT